AGGATACAGAGGAAAAGGGTAGTTTCATGCAAATTGGTAATGGGGTGAATTAGTACAACTCTTCTGGTGATGAATGTGGCAACACTTACCAGAATTTATTAGGGGCAGTGGTTTCATTTCTACATTCAGAAATAGTCACACATGTGTGTAGGGACAGATGTGCATATTTGCTTCTTGTGGTATTATTTATAATTGTGAAAGGGGAGACAACTGTAGGGCCCATTGTCACAAAGACTCTGTAATTCAGAATACATCCCTTGAATCTTGGAGGAAATCAAGACATCATTTTCAAAGAATAGGGTGGATGTTTGATTTCAAAGGTATTTGATTTCAAAATGATTTCAAAGGTATTAGAAAAACACTGTACATATTTAGAACATAGAAAAGACATGCGTATGCACACATTATGTAAAAAACATAGCCACACATATCTGTGAAGGCGTGGAAAGAAGATTTGGAAGGCTATAGTACTGACCTGCAGGCAGTTAAGACAGAGTGGACGACAGGTAGCTATGAGTATGTGTGTGTCAGGGGGTGTGAGGCAAGAGACTTGCTTTGTACTTAATCATATTGTCCATATTATTTACTTTCTTCCAAAATGAGTATGCATTCTTTGTTACAAAAAATAACATATTCAAAAGAGAGCTAATGAATTTGTGACTAGTTAACAACTGGCTAGAAATCCCTATTGCCTTTTCTTCTGCCAGCCCAGCAAACCACCTACCCCTATGAAGACACAGAAAAAGTGGAAACTCACCCAAACCAGCAGATCTGGTTCACCTGAATCTGGAAAGAAGCTCTGGCGATCAGATGGTGCTCAGAAAGGGAAAGATGTACCACACTTTGTCGCCACAGGGAAGCCCAGGGAATAAAGATAGGGAGGTTCTGCACATCTTCCTCACTACCTGACCCTGAACAGGGTCTACTCTAGCCTGAAGCTGAATTCTGCTTCCTCACTGTTGTGGTCTACTTAAGAAGGCTCTCACAGGTTCCTGGCCTCACTTACATGAACCACCGCCTTCTCTTGCCTCTTTCCTTCTGCCGTAATTCTACAACTACACAGAAACAACGCTTAGAAAATGACTCAGTTGAAAATGTTGTGAAGCTGGAAGAGCAAGGGTGACTGGCGTAGGTATGGATTCCCCCAAGTAAACCACTATGGATACACATAGAGACAGAACGACACCTGCGAGGAGTGTGTGGTCAGACTTACAGTTTTCATGTGCAGAGTGTCAGATTCAGAGGACTAGAGAACCAAATAGAGGGACCGGAAAATATGCTCTCTCAATAACACGCTAGTTAAGTGTTGCCAGAAATTGAAAATGAATTTTGAAGTCTCATGTTTCTACTTGTCCACCAGTTGGTTTCTGGGAAGGGAACCAATTCCTTACACAGGTGCCGAGAACTAGGCCTAGGGTAATCTCTACCTGCCCCCAGTATATTGTGAAACATAAGGTTAAAAGAGATATTGCTTTATGAAAAAAAGAAAAGACTCAAAAATTTGAACAAAGCAAATATATGGATAAGCATTGCTTCTGTAGATGAGAAAAACAAATGTATTCACATGGGGACAAAAGCAACAATCAAATGGCTACGGATCTTGATTAATACTTTAACTCAAAAGGCTAGAAAACAATATTGAGTTTGTCAATTAAATTTTAAGCACGAAACCAAAAACAGAAATCTTAAGGAAAAACATCAATATATATTTAATTACATAAATAAGACTAACTTTTTTTCCTTTTTTGTTTTAAAAATTTAAAAAACAAAACAACAATGAAGACAAAATCAAAACAACACAAAAACAACAAAAATGATACATGACCTCAAAACACAATGATGAGAATTAACAATGGTTGCTACATTACATACTGTTACCTTCAATGAAGTTGCTCAGTCCACCAGATGTAAGAATGTAAGACTGACCAAACAATCAAAGATCACGTATCTGTTGCTTTATTGAAAGGAACTGTTAATGCGTAATTGTTTGATCAATCTTGCATGCCTATATCTGATTATATGTGCAGCCATTTTAAGGATGACATTAAGTAATATAACAACCATTGTTAATATCCTATCACCATGTTTTGAAATTCTGTATCATTTTTATTCTTCTCTATGCTATTTTGTTTACGTATTTTTGTTATTTTGTTTTTTTAATGAAAAATAAAATTTAAATGTATATAAAAGGATAGCTGGGATAGGTGTATTGCTGCTGTCTGTGGTTTATTGAAAGGAACAGTCAATTCTTAAAATTTTCTTTTTTCTTGACCAATTTTGCATGCTTGAATCTGGCAATCAGAATGACTAATCTGAAAACAACAATACGCAGTATAAAAACCATTGTTGAACTCCTACCATCTTGTATAGTAAAGCTCTGCATCATTTCCAAGACTAACTTTTTATTAGTATATGTGTCCATACATAATGATTACATTTATTGTGGGGAGTTGGTATAAGTGTAAAACTCATCTTAATTTTTTTTTCAGCCCCTGCACCTCCCCCTCTCTCTGCTCTTTCCAAGTCTTGGTCCCCTTCCATTTGCAAAAGTTCAAGGCACACTAGGTAACGAACTGATGTGATAGATAAAGGGCTAACATCTTTTTTTTTTTTTAAGTGCTCCTAAATATATAAAGGTCAAATAGCTTAAGAGTTGTACAAATTTCACAAATAAGCAGAGCAACAAGGAAAAATTACAAGTGGCCAACAAATATATGGAAAAAAAATACCTCATCTCATGATCAAATAAAATGCAAATAAAAGACAATGTTTTTATCAAAAATACTGGAAATATTAATAAATAATAACACTCAGTATTTGTCAGGATTTGTATATATTATTGTGTATATTAATATTTTAAAATCTATTATTCCCTAAGACACATCCCCTTAGACACAGAAATTTCTATTATTGAGATTTGTTCTAGCAGAAAAAAAATCATAAGTGTGTAAAAAGTTTCAGTGAAAAAGGATGTTTCTACATTTTAAGTATAAAAATGAAAAACAGGGAATCATGTCAACATTAAAATTGGTTAAATGAATTTTGGTATCCATGTACAATTGCTAATGGCTATGTTTAAGAGTAATATTTAATGGTAAAGAGAGATAATCACTGCTTATTGTGAAAACTGAAAACATATGCTACTATCATAATCTTAGATTTTATACAAACATAACCTCAAAAAAACAAGAATTAAAATCTATATATCAAAGGTTAAAGATGGTTTTCTATACATAGTGAAACTGAGTTATTTTGGCTTTGTTTTCCTATGATTTCCAAAATGAATATTCTAAATAAAGTTCTTTTTTCTTTTAAGTTTGTGAAAGACAGGAGTTCGCATTTCCAAGAGGAATGAAAAAGTAGCAGTGTCTCTCACATACAAAATAAATCTGAAAACCAAATTTAGTAAAATGGACCTTTCTATTTATTGTTCCTTCTCAGATTTTTTTAGAACTTTAAAATCCAGAAAGTACTTCTAATTATAACATTGGAAAGCTTGGGAACAACTTGTTCTGAAATCTTTTATTTATTTCCAGCAAAGCATAATCTTATTTGATTGCCTGGCAAACTTCGTTTTCCACTTGTACTAGAAGGGACGGTGGATTAGTATCTAACTTTCTCTTAATTACTTTTTATAAGCAGTGCTTTGTCTTCCTCAGCTATTGAAAATAGTGTGCATACTGACATTACTCCAAAAAATATCAGTGCAAGTTCAGTGGCACACTTCCAGGAGCTGGTTAAAACTCAATCCCTAAATCTTTTATCATTTATCCCAGGGGACAGCAGTTCTTACTGGAGTACAGGAGAGATGAGGCTAATTTCAAGAAGCTTATGTCTTCTCAAAGGTTTTCTGATGTGTCTTCAGTGGAGTGGCCCAACTTGAAGTAGTCCTCACACACACACACACACACACACACACACACACACACTCCTTTAGTGGATTTAGATATTTCTCATGAGAGAGTGCTGTCCAGAGCAGTACCATAAAGATCAAAAGTTCAGAGAAGTGTCATGAAACATTTGATTAAACCAAGACAGAAAGGCCCTTCTGATAGGAAAGCTAGCAAGTAATTTATTTCTGGGTCACAGATTTTAATGATAGCTCCGAATCTAATGCCAATTTTCACTTCATGTACAGCAAGTATTTTTCTCAGGAATTCATCAAATAAAAATAAAACAAAAAAAAAGCTCTATTTTATTTTTTGAGGTGAGGTTTGCTGTGTTGCCCTGGGTGGCCTCAAACTCCTAGGCTCAAGGGATACCCCTGCCCCAGTCTCTGGAGTAGCTGGAATGACAGGTACCTGCAGATGCACTTGGATGAAAGGCTATACTATTTATGTTAAAAACATAATTGTCTTTACACATTAATGGGTAAACTGTGGTACATATATACAATGGAAGATTTTTCAGTGACAGTAAGAAATGAATGATGAAGCTATCAGAAGACATGAAGCAACAAGGTAAAATTAGACAGTAAGAAGATATGTGATTGTTAGCAATGGGGGAGCATTGAACGGGGGAACATAGGATTTTTAGTGCAGTGAAACTATGCTGTATGACCCCACAAGGGCAGATATGTGTCATACATTTGTTAAAACTCACAGAACGCACAGCACACAAGATGAAAGGAAAAAGTCACTTGCTTAACATGCCCAAGGCTTTGGATTTGATACTAAGCAACCCACAAACCCGACAAAACAAAACAAAACAAAATCATAAAAACACTAATGTGAACTATAGAATTTTGTTAAAAATAATGTAGCAACAGTGGGCGAGTAATTATAATAAATATATACTAACACAAGATGTTAATGATAAGGGAACCTGTATGTGGTGGGAAGGGGAGGATATTAGCCATGGACTATCTGAGAACTTTCAGGACTTTTTGCTCAATTTTTCTATTAACCTAAAACTGCTCAAAATCTATTCATTAAAAAACTAAGAGAAGGCTAACAAACAAAATTAAAATTTATCTATAAAGAAAGGAAAAAGTAACTTACTTCCGGTTCACAATTAGCCACTCCCGAATATAGGTGTGAACACAATCTCTGACATGAGGGTCCAGGTCCACCCTAATTAGGTGGAAAAGATTAAAAAATGGTATTACTGGGCAAAATCAACAAAATAATCACTTACCATAACCAATGGGCACAACAGTATTTCAAACTCACATCAACTTGAATACTAAGGATGTTCTTGCCCATTCAAGTGCCTAAAGTATTCCTGAGGTACAGAGAATTTTCCCTTGATGAGATAAACATATTGGCATTTTCTGCTTTGTGGGTTTGACAAGACAGGATCATTAAACTATACCTATCCCCGCAGGCTTTACTTATTACACAAGACAAGAAGAATAACTATAATCAATACAAAAGAAAAATAGATATAAGTACTTATTTCCAACAGGGATAATTTTGTGTTCATGGGCATTTTTTTATGACCTGCATGTTCTCCATTCAGAAAGCCAAGAAGAACAGCTCTCATGCTTTGATAACTTTGTAGACATTAGTTTTAGTTGGTGATCTTTTTTTTTTTTTTTTTTTTTTTTGGTTTTGGTTTTTCTCCGGTACCGGGAACCGAACTCCCGACCTTGCGCTTGCCAGGCAGGCGCTCTGCCGCTGGGCTAAATCCCCAGCCCCCTAGTTGGTGATCATTAAGTCAGATGGTCCCTGCCATATCTGCTTAGAAGGAATAAGTCTTGAAATCAGAAACAACACTAGTAGCAAAATCTTTTGCTCTCACAAATGCATTAATACTAGAGATAATAGATCTAATGCTACAGGTCTTAATTTTCTCATTTGTAAAAAGGTCAAACTATAGTTTGTATCTTGAATGTTCTCAAAGGACCAGATGGTCAAGTCTTCATTTTTAACTTGGTGCTATTGTCAAGTGGTGAAACCTTTAGAATATGGGGCCTCAGGTCCTCGGGCTGTGCCCTTGACAGGGACTGTGGGACTTCCATCTCTTCCTCTCTGTCTTTCACACCTGATCATGAGGTGAATGGGCCTCCTCTTCCCACTACCAGCTCTTGCTATGATGTTTTGTGCCACCACAGGCTTACAGCACAAAGCTAGAGGGCCAATTTCAATCTGTAAGCCAAAACAAACCCTTTCTCTTTTTAAGTTGACTTATCTCTGGTTTATTTGTTTCAGTAAGGGAAAGCTGACTAACACAGGAGATAAGAACAGAACTCACTTATAAATATAAGATGAAATATTGTAAAGATTTAGACATGTGATCTGAGCTCTGCTTGGCCAGATCCCAGGGTCATCCCTTATTAGCTCTTTGACCTCAGGGCAGCCATTCAATCATTTTGTGCCTCGGTTTCCTCACATAAACTGATTATAATGAGTGTCTTCTTTAGAGTCTTGTGATAAAGATTAAATAAGTTAGTGTAGAAAGTATTTAGAAGATTCTTAGGCACTTAATAAGAGCTAGATGTGACAGTTCATGCTTTATATATCCTACTATGCACCAGACACTGATGTATTCACTTTGCATGTTTTTTTTTTTTTTTTTTTTTTTTGGTTTTTCTCTGGTACGGGGAACCGAACTCACGACCTTGCGCTT